CGCCCCGCACACAAAAGATTTAGGCATTCTCTCTCTCTCTCTCTCTCTCTCTCTCTCTCTCTCTCGATGAAGAAAAAGATTTCTTGTTATAGTCTCTGGCCTCCTGACCGCGAACTACCAGCCACTTCCTTTTTATTTTGCCCATATAACAAGCGGGGAGCCGGGAGGTAATTGGGTTAACTACCTGATCTTCCTTCTGGGAGCGCGCAAGGCCCACTAAACGCCTTCTTATCATGATCGACTATCACGCGGCTCCCCAACTGCATCATCTTTAAGGGACTTTTTTTATTTTCTCGCCGAGGCCTGTAAAGCCCCGGCGCTCGGGTGGCGAGGAAGGGTTAAAGGCAGACGGGGGCGGGGAGAGGTGAGGGGCCGGGGTGGCGATCGCAGAGGGGCGGAGAGAAGCAGCAGCAGCAGCAGCAGGGCCCGGGAGCTGCTGCTGCTGCTGCTGCTGCCTGGAGAGCTCGGCCTGCCATTACGCACAAAGGCGAGGGGCCTGGGGAATCGAAACCCAAATCCACTTGTAATCGCACGAGAGAATCGCGCGTAATTACTCGAGCGACCGAGATTAAGATTGATGAGCCTTTAAAGCGCCGTTTCGGATCGATCCGCTGCCCTAAGCAGGAGCCCCGCCGGCCAGGAGGGCGGCCCGCTTGCCGGCCTGCTTGCTTCCTCGCTCGCCGAGCGCCACTGGCGCTGTCCGGCCGGAGGGGGAGGCGGCAGGGAGGACGGAGCAAGGGCGATGCCCAAGCCCCGCGCGTATGGTCCGCATCAGCTGACCGGGGTGAAGAGGCCAGGCTGGCCTATTAGGCGCGGGGAAAACAAGAAAATGAACGAAAATAGAGTTTGTCTCCATATTATCCAGCCCCTGGTGGGCTGGCTTGAGAGCTGTCAGAGGCGGGAAGCCGAGCGTTGCCTAGGGCTGGGTGGAGAGGAGGGAAGGAGGCGATGCTTGGAAGGGAGGGAAGTTAGCGCTGAAATGAGGCCTGCCACGCTCTCCGTCAGGCCGAGAGACGGGCTGAGGCCGGGCTAAGTGGCGGGTAGGATGGGGAGCTTCCAGCGGGATCCGTAGAGGCAGGAGACGGGGCTCTGGAGAAGGGCAGAGCTTGGCAGCGCAAATGGTAGTCGGACCGAGCGCCAGCCAGTCAGCCCCTACCTCAGCTGCCTTCCCCACAGAAAAGAAGCCGGGGAAAGGCTGCTGGAGAGACACCAGAAACCAAATCCGACCGAGCACATCATTTCACACACACACACACGGAATTAACAGTCTCAGCACCTAAAAGAAAAAACAACAGTACCAGCAGCCAGATAATACTATGCCTTATTACTTCCCAGTTTCTAAAATGTGGCATCAGTGTATTGCATTTCATGTTATTCGAATAGATGTTTCGGTTTATTTATCCGTAAGACGGTCTTGGCTCAATATCCCATTATTCCATGCATTTATTTTTATGCGATCTGCATAGATCTCGAGATGGAATTTCCACTAAGTTCGTTTAGGATCCGGATGGGAAGTCTCCTTAGAGTCAATGTAATAACGGTCCGCAAACAGCCTTATGGCACCTTAAATGTTAACACATTTATTATGGCATACGCTTGTCAGGCCATAAGATGCCTGGTTCCTATTACTGGTCCTCCTGCTCTGAGGAGCCCCACGGCGCTTGGCTCTAAGGTTGCCGTCGCCAGGACTCTAACTAGGCAGCCTGACCCGCCTAATACAGCCGGATTCGCCTCCCGAGGAAACCTGCAGAGGATTGCGTTGCACAGTACTAGAAATGCCCAAATAATTTCGGGGTTTTCTTGCAGGTTTGAGCTACGATTCTGTGCACATTTACTTGGGAGTAAACCCCGATGAATTCTATAGAATATACATGCGTGTAAGCAAGTTAGAATAACTCTGAATCTTTTTGTTTTGGAGTAATTATGCTCTCAGCATTAACATTTCAATAAATTTCAGAGGGAGAGAGATTGTTTCTGGCGTCTCTGCGGAGACAAATCGTTTTCTTTATAACAACTGTTTGTTTCACAATAAAGGCTGCATTTTATTTTACACACACATACACATTTTCTGCACAGAGAGAGCCCTAGTCTGGCATCTGATGTCTCGCAGATAGTTTTATGATGTAGAAAACACTCCATTGCCTAACGTCCAGAATAATAAAAAAGAAGTAAAACATATTCGATATGTGTGGTGCATAATTTGTATTGTAATTTTATGACTAGATAAAGGAAGCGTAAATCTAAATATATTTTATTGGAAGCCCCTCTGATTTTTATTCCGTGACACTGCTTTTCTAAATGCTCGCTGCCCGTCTTAGGCTGCGCTTCATACACACGTGCAAACCGGTAAATTTGTTGAATTGAGTGGGACCTGTACTCGACCTTTATGGGATCGGGCTTCGAGATTAGGAAGAGAGGGGCTATTTTCATCAGCGGGCTGTGATCTCCCCACCCGCACCCCGCTAGTATTCTCTTTAGGTGAGGAGACCTACACACAGCCTAGTTCTTGGGTGTTGTTTTGTTTGAAAGACCTATAAAGTGGCCTGCTGTTCCGATGGTCCGCCGACCATCCTTTGAGGTTCAGGCGTCCCGCTTCCTGAAGCCTCTTCCTAGGTGTCCCGGGAGCGCTCCGTAGGCATCCCTCGCCTGAGTCGGACGGCTTCCTCGCTCCGCTCTGCCGTCGTCGGGCAAAGCGGCCGGCCTGTCTTTCGCAGCCTCCTCACGCCGCTCCGTCTTGTCTTGCAGGCCCCGTGGTCCTCAGCACGCCGGCCCAGCTCATCGCGCCGGTGGTGGTGGCCAAGGGCACCCTCTCCATCACCACCACAGAGATCTACTTCGAGGTAGACGAGGAGGACCCGGCCTTCAAGAAGATCGACCCTAAAGTGAGTACAGGATCCAAGTGGGGGGGGGAGAGGAGGGGGAGGGGTGGTTTCCCATAACCATGAATTGAGGAATGCTCCCAAGTGCCTGGAAGCGCCCCTCTCCTTGCCCCCCTTCGTTTGATTCCGTGGCTGTTTTATTTAAGAGCGCGGCGCGTTAATGATGTAAAATCCGCTCTTACTCCCGCGCTCGCTTTTTAACAAATCTCTCCCCCCCCCGCACTTCCCCCCGAAGGCCTTTGTATGAACGTGGGCAGATTTAGCAGTTAAGCCAATTGCTCGGAAATCCCTCGAGGTAATGGCGGGCCCGCACTCCAGCCTCTTTCCTCGGGCACCCGCGGCAGACAAGGAGACGCGCTCCCTCTCCGTCTGCCTTCGATGCAGTCCCCAGGGACTGGAGCTTCCGCTTCTGCGCGGGTGCGCGGTGCAGGGGCGCGCGGAGCAGCTATTGCACAGCCTGGGCCTGTAGGAACTAGCAAGCTTGGGGTGCGCAAAGGCAGAATCTCTCCCGAAGACCCCTGGAGTAAGGAAATAGAGCGGAGATTTGCCTTGTTACAGAATTCAAAAGTTCACGTCCATGTCGTTTTCCTTCTCTCCAGATCTATAGTGATATTGTTACTTTAATTTCACTTTCGTAGCCTTGTGTAAATACACACTATTGTGGCCTCAATGTCGAGGCCATCCGTCTGTTGCCCGCCTGCCAACCTTGACAGGAAGAATTAAAAGTGTCTTCCGGATTTTAAAACACACACGCAAGCAAAGCAAAACAAAACAAAACAAAACATGGAGTTGGGTAACATGGCGAGTCTAACGGTTTTGCTGCCGCGCATCCAAGCGCGGGCAGAGCGCAGCTGAAGTTTGAAACAGTATCACCTGGGCAGATCTTGAGCACATTGTTGCACCCCCTCAATGCTTGCCGGGATATTTGCCCTTTGGCTGAATCACGGTTTGCATCCGGAAGGAACTGCCTGCTGCGCTCTCTGCAAGGGCAGGACGGGGCTTCTGGCGGAGGCGGCTCCTTTGCTCCGGCGGGGCCTCCGGAGAGGCCGGCGCTCGCTTTTTCCAAACACAACTGGCGGCGGCTTTATGGCCAGGCTGGTGATGTTTAGGGCAAAGGTAGCAACATTCTTTACCTGCCGATTGTTGGCTTGACCCCCGCAAATCTCTGAACATTGCAGCTTCCCCCTCCCTTCTCTCCAAGTGCTGTTAATTTTGTTACAAACTAGGCTCGCTTGGGTAATGCGTGCCTTCAGCTTGGTTCAAAACCGGACAGCCGCGTTAGCCTGGCCCACTAAATCTTTTGAGTAGTAGATTTATTTCCTGACGGTTGTAAAAATGTTACTCGCTTAATTGCCACACACCGGAGTGTGACCGATGTCGATGGCCTTCAGGACCCCATTTTTTTAGGGTAGGCTACACCGATTTTTATCTTCGTTTTAAATTATGCTACTTTTAACAGGCCGTCAAGGGCTTCAGACCCGCTTTACACCGCCCCTCCCCGCCCCCCAAAAAGAGAGAATGTAGCAGACTGAGGGCTTGCATGGAATCCAGCACTGAAACTCTTAAGCATATTTATTTTACTTTTATTTATTAGCTTGTAATTAAATAAAATCAGCAACAGAAATTTAAATCACAAAAAGTAATTATCCAGTGTATTTCAAGTGCATTTTTCCAATATATAATTCCAATATTCACAATTATATAAGCAAAATCCAAATTTCTTCTGAATATATTTAAATAACATTTCAAGTATATTTATGGAATGGTAGAAATAGAACAAGCAATATATTTGAAACAAAAAAAAATGTAAACTTCTTTTTAGCTTAGACACTTCAAAAGACAAGTAACAAAAGTACCATGATAAAATCTACCTTTTTTTTAAGCGGTATCTTCTTGAGCAGAAAATGTCCTGAAGTATCCAAAATGGCAATTTAACTTCTTTTCACCAAATCACAAAACACTAACACCCACAATTTCAAAGACAATGTGAGATCACAATATTCCATACAATTTTTTTAAAAAAATGTACAGGGGAAGAGTTGGGACAGTTGTGGTTTGTTTTGTTTCTTTTCCTATCTAACGGTTGTGGTTATTTGGGTGGCATCTTCAGATTCTCTCTTACTCGCACAAAAATCCCGGCCTCGTTATAATCCATTGGTCTGGTTTCTAGGCGGAGTGGTCACAATCAGGCTAAAAACGGCAGCCAATATTGCATTTCCCCTGGTGATAATCATACACGGTTTCGTTTCGTTTTGTTTTCCGGGCAGGCTTTTAAAACCGGGATACCGGCAAGAGTCATAATACTTGCAGTTGGCTTGGTGTGCGTGCGCGCGCAGGCGGGCAGCCTCTTCCCCGAACGCAGGGCGACGTTTGCCCCATTAAACCCAGCAGAATCCTCCGAAGAGAAAGGCAGTTTTTTCTTTTCTTTTCGCGGGGGAGAGAAGAATAGTGTCAGGCCGCCGCTGGCTGGCCCTCTAAAGTTTCTCCAAACTTTTGGGGTTGGTGAGGATCTCCCTGGCCAGCCGCCACGTTTGTTTGGCCGCGTTTTCGAGGGCCGAGTGCGGCTTGCCCTGGAAGAGGTCTAAGTTGGGCAAGAAGTAGTGCGGGCAGCGCCTGCACTGCAGGCACGAGATGAGCTGCAGCAAGATGCCGTTGAGCCGGTCGCCCAGGCACGACTCGTCCCAGTCCGACTCGCGGGGATGCTTCTCGCACTCGTAGGACACCAGAGTCTTCATGTGGTAGTTGTTGAGCGGCTGGCCGGGCAGCTCGAGGTGGCGATCCCGCAGCGTCTTGAGGATGGAGAGGCACTTCTTGCGGCAGCCGCCCATCTGCAGCCGGTTCTCGGCCTCGGCGAACTGCAGCACCCAGGCGTCGCTCTCGGCCGAGCTCTGCTTGCCGGCCAGCGAGTGGCACTCCTTGGAGAGCAGGTTGAAGCCCTCGGCCTTCACCTCGGCCACGCGGTTGGGCCCCGGCCAGGGGATGTGCGGCAGCGGCCAGTGCGCCGCGCTGCGCGGCCAGATGCCCGTGCACTTGAAGGCGGGCGTGATCTGCACCACGTAGCGGTCGCGGATGCGCAGCTTGACCTCGCTGGTGTCCGCCACCATCTTCACCACGTCGCGGTAGCTGCACTTGTCCACGGCCTGCGCCACCAGCGTCTGGAAGCGCGAGCGGATCTTGCGCGCCGACAGGTAGCCCGAGGCCGTGATGAACTCCACCCAGAGCGACATGCTCCTCTTGCGCCCGTCGCTCAGCTTGAGCACGGCGCAGCCGGGCAGCGAGCCGTCGTCGACGAAGTTGAAGACGCCCATCTGGTTGAGGTAGAGCACCACCTCGAACTCGGTGGGCGAGATGACCTCCAGGCCCTCGTAGCGGTTGTCCATCTCGTTGAGGGAGCTGATGAAGCGCGGCTCCTGCACCTCCACCTCCTTCAGCACGTCCGACACCACCTTGCACACCTCGCGGATGGTCTTGGCGATGGCCGCCTTGCGCGCCTGGCACTTCTCGTTGTAGTATTTGTTGAGGTGGTACACCAGCTTGGCCTGCGCCGCGATCATGTTGGGACAGAGATCCGGGTTGTAGACCGGAGTCTCGCAGTAGGCGCTGGGATCCAATGCGGCTGCTAAGGCGGGAGCCAACTTCAGACGGGAATCCGGACGCCCGGCGCGGGGAAGCGGAGCCCCAGGCCGCCCAAAGGCGCTGCTCTCGCCGCCCCGCTGCTCTTTCTGCTGCTCGGCTCCTCCTCAGCTCCGAGGCTCGCTCGCAGGCTGTCTTTCTCTCTCCTTGCCGGCTGGAGGTGGACACTTCTGCCCCGAACAAATCTCCGAGTCTTTCCCAAACACGCACAGGCACACAAACCCCTGGGTTTTTTGTTGGAAAGGATCCTTCAGGGAGCAGAGGAAAGCATGGAAGAGCTGCAGTTAAAAAAAGGGAAGCAAAGTTTGCGCCCAGTTGCAGCCAGGCTCCCACCAGTCAAAATAATAACACATCGGAGCAGGCATTTATTTTTCTCCTGGAGTCACCACGGGGTGTGAGTGTGTGTGTGTGTGTCTGCGCGCAATGTTGGTAGTCAGATGGGGGGGGCGGATTTCTGGGTGTTTCTCTTTCTCTCTCTCCCCCTCTGTGTGTGTGTGTCTCCCTGTCTCTGAGTGTGTGTATATGTCAGGAGAAGCTGGCTGTTGGTTTGTATAAGAGCCCAGATGCACTCGCGTGGAAATTATAAAGGCAGGGCCAGGCAGGCGGGCGGCCAATCGCCACTGGGCTCGTCACGGCAGCCTCTTCCAGCTCCAGCCTGGTTAATTAATCCCTCTCGGGGAGACAGAGAAACGCACAAACTCAAGGTAGGGGGCTGGTGGCAGAAAGGGACCAGCCAGGCCGGCGACCCATTGGGCAGGCGAGGAGGCGGAAGGCGGCTACGGCTGTTGGGGAAAGGACTGCTTGCCACTCTTCTCGCCAGGCGTCCTCCGGAGCCTGCTCGTGGCGCAAAGGGGACCGCAGGTGCCAGGAACCCGGCACCCTTCTCCCGGCGAACTGGAGAGGCGCTTCGCTCCGGGGAAAGGAAGCGGAGACATCACATGCGAAAACTTGGCTTCAGCTGGCGCTGCCTGATAGACGTTGGAAACAGCTGGGAAGTTCTCCGCTTGTCAACCGGACTAGCCTAGTGTTAGAAAGTCACCGGTTGTACGATAGAGGGGAAATATGTACCAGGAGCAGCAGCCTCCTCCTCTTTCTTCTTCCTCCCCAATTAAATAGCACAAAAGGCGAGCTGACGGGTCTCAATCGATTGGATGCAAATGGAGGCGCGTTTTTTACCTGGCTCTTTAGATTGGTAGCAGCTGAAGGAAGCGACCAGTCGCTGGCGGGCTTGACAGTTTTCCGGATTGAGTTTCCGGAAGACACGCAGCCCTGGCTAGCAATGAGTTAGTTGCCTTGTTGCCGCCTTTGTGTACCGCACGTGTCGCAAAGGTGCCCAGCCGCCTGCGCTGTCATTAGCAGCAACATTGTGGCAAAGTAAATGGCAACTCTTAATGGTCTGAAGTGGGCAGGTTTCTGAAGTGGGCACCCCACCTCACCCCCGTGTGGACTGTATTTGCAGTCTGGGTGGATTGTAATGGGGACGCGGGAGAAATCGCGGTCATGCGGGCAGGCAGCTTTTCTGTCCCATTTAGACAGTCCAGGTTTAGGGCAGCGCTAGTTATGAGCCAATATCCCCTCCAGTGCCTCCAAGCAGAGCTGTTGGTTGCGCATAGCCGGCCACAGGGAAGCCTTCTGGTTTGCCGCCTGCTCTCTTGTTCCAAGAAGCAACACAGTTCGGAACTGGGAGCGGAGCCCTGGAGCAGCTCCACCTTCCCCTCTCCCTTGAACGGCTTCCAAAATCATCTGGGAGCATCTTAACGTTAAAATTAATTGGGTGCTGTCTAGGGAAAGTTAAGCGCGCTTTAGTTAATTCGAAATCAATGGGATTTAAGCCTGCATCCTAAAGATGTCGCTCAGAAATATCCCTTAAAATCAATTAATAAGCGTAAAACTAGACTGACGGGTGTTTAAAAAAAAATATTTGCGGCTCAAGCCTATACACGTCTACTCGTAATTAAGTCCCACTGAATTCAATGGGGCATACTCTCAAGTAAATGAATATAGAATTTTAGAGCCTTAAGCTGGTGCCTAAACCCCATTGATTTCAGTAGAAATCAGGCGCGCTTGATTTGCCCTGAATTTAAGCCCCTTTGTTTATCAGTTGCTCCCTTAAATCTGATGCATGTCTACTTAGAAGTAAGGCCAACTGAGTTCAATCGGGTTTACTGCCAAGGAACGGAATAGGATTGCAACCTTATCCTCCTGCGCTCTTGCAGAATTCGTTCAGAGCTCGGGTGTCAATTATTATTATTATTTCGTTGCATTGATTAGACCTGCTTCCAGATAATGGTGAACTTCCTTATCGCCCGGCCCTAAAGGCATTTGCTTCCAAGCAAGTCCATCGACAAGTCGCGTGTTGGGCATTGCAGCAGCCCGGTCCCTTTAAGATCCTATTGTGGCTGCTTGGCCCTTCAGATCACCTTTGCGTCTAGCGATCTGTTTGGGTTGCCTTCACTGCGCGCTTCTCCTGGCGTGTTAGGTCGTTGAATTAGATAGAGGCGAAAGGAGGAGAAACTGGAGCCGCCGCCCAGGGCGCGGGAGGCAACGGTAGCGCATCCTCCTGTGGACGCAGGGCTTTGCGGATGAGGATCTGGCGGGGCGCATTTTCTGCGCGGCCGTTTTCTGTCTGGGCGGGGATTGCAAACGGCGTCGTGACGCTTCCAGACAGCAGCTCACCAGCGTGGCCTTGCCTGAACTTAGCTTCAGAAATGTGCGTGGGGCAGGGAAGGATCGTGGGCGAGCAGATAGGTTGGGGTCAGCAGCCCAACAACAGGTGGAGGGGCGCCAGGAGAGACGCTGCGCAAGCAAATCTCTTTCCCGCAGAGAAGAGACCCGTCTGCATCCCGTCCTGCTATTTCCCTTCGCCCTCTCGCCTCTAAGAGGCTAAGTCTTGAGCCTGCGAAGGGGAAAGGCACTAGCGTGGCGCTCTCACATTTTATCTCCTTCATCCCGAGGGTGTTTGGGGGTCGGTGGGAGAAGGGACCAGGCTCCTGCGCAAAGAGAGTCTGGCAAGCATCTCGACTTTGCTCCTCTGAACCGGGAGCCCGGCCCCGGAGCACAGCCCCTGCACTTCTTTTTAACAGTACTGTATTAGTAGCGAGCAGGCTGTGTTGCCCAAATACAGAAATTTAGCTGGAACCGTGCAGTGAACTACTGAACCGCTTATACAGGGGAAAACACATAGTAATAAATTGAAATTCGGTTCTCAGTGGAGGTGCAACAAAACTCCTCTGTGATAACTGAAAATCTTCACAACAAAGCACTCTTCTGAAGTGGTTCCTCTATGCTCTTCTAGCTGCTGAGATGACACATACAGTGAAGTTTTAGACTTATATTTAGCTTGTTTCCATAATGATAAGGTGAAGGTTAGAATCAACTCCCTTTAAAATTCCTTACATTGGTTAGGATTGAGCTATAAATGGGTTGAATTATCTGTTACACCACAAAGTTGTTAATGTTTCTTGCAGAATATTGTCATTAAATATAAAATAATTACAGCAATTTATAAGCCTGCATTAGCAAAATGTTGCTACACCTCATATTGTGATCTGTGCATGTCTACTTTGTATGTAAAATATAATTAATTCAGTGGAACTTACTACTTGGTAACTATGTATGGAATTGGAGACTAAAACTGCAAGCTTGTGTACTTGGGAGAGTAGGTTCTGTTGTAGGCAATGACTGAACTCCAGTTTCACTAGAATAAATATTCCTTTATAAATTTATAGATCAAGCTGCTTTTCACATAGTGTTAAAAGTTTTGATTCTTTAAAATTAATTCAGTAACTGATGCAGTTGGTCCAGATATTTTGATTTATTTGAACTGTAAACTTAATCTAATAAATATAGAAGGCTAACATTTAGGGAATATTATATTATTATTATTATTATTATTATTATTATATTAAAATACTGAATTTGTTGTTGCATACAAAACATGTAGGCACTGAGAAAAGCTGTGTAACATAACAATGATGTTATAGAATTTAGCATACTAGATTAAAATTAATTCCAATTTTCAAACATTTTGTAAGGCATTTTTTTTAAGGTGTTTGGAAGTTTTTCACATCCACTTGTAGTAAGGGTGTTTAAAACTAGTCTAGATACAAAATTCAATGTGAACTTTAATTTTATTTTTAAATTTTAGTCCTGCCAGGATTTATGCCAGTTTTAATTGCACTGAATCCAAATGCAACTAAATTGAATGAATCCCTGTGCTTCTCTTTGTGATGAATTGGACTGAATGTTAACAAAGACTTTTAGACTTCATAGTCATACGGAAGTCTCACATTAGATGAAAAAATATAAATTAAGACGCTTGTTTGAAGGTGGTTAGCACACTTTACATATGCTCCTATATTTAAAATAGTCAGTTTTCTGTTTTCATTACATCCACCTATCAACTGAATCAAGTTTGGTCTTAGCGATAAGGACTTCTATCAGCATAGCAAGATGAAAATAACCCAGTGGAAATTAGGATTGCTAATTGTGTAAGGAATTAAAGGTGTAGGAAAGTCTGAGGAGTGACTTTCTTCAAATTCTGCTGTTGTTGTTCCTGTTGCACAGTCTTGCTCACTTTTACAGACTCTGCTGGGAACTCCCGCTCCTATACTTTCACATAAAATAATTTGTGCAATATTGTTGCAGTATTATTCAAAAAGCCTATCTCAGTTGGAAAAGAAGTGTGCCTAGACTGATTTTATGTTCAGCAAACATAATTTATTAATTAGCAACTTCATTTGTAATTTTACGAATATTGGCTTTCCAGCTAGAGAAAACGTGTTGGTTGCTTTGAATTCACAAGCTCTTCTATTTATGCCACATTGAATTCTCTTTGTGTAGTTGTGATTCTTCACACCACTGTTCATAAGTTTAAAGTCTTGTTTTTTAATATCTGTGTATTGCACTAGGGAGACAGAATATGAAGTGGGTTTTATTGAATTATTTATCCCTGTTGTTGGAGTGGGTTTGAAGGCTCATTTAATGTATCTGATATTCTAACAGTTCTCCACCCCCACCCATTTCATTACACATCATCCTGCAAGCCAAAATAAATTTCTTTTTTGCACTAGAGAAATGAAGCATACATCTTTGTAGCAGATTCACTTTTATTGTCATTGGGAAAAAATAAAGGTGTATTTTCTTCCAGTTTAATTTATGGTGACTTTGAGTTTTTTATTTCTTTTGTTATGACTTTTTCAAACTAAGAGTGAATAAAGGGGGGAAACATACTATTAAAAGGGTAATCAGAGTAATGTCCATAATGCTTTTTTCATGTTTATAATTTTTAAATACTTTATTTGCAGATAGAATGCATTATTATATTACAAAGGACTTGTGCGTAAGTTTATTTATTTACAGTTGCTTAGAGAGAAATTTCACAGGGTACGACTCATGCAAAAATTAAGACTGCGGCCATACCATTAGTACTTGACACAGTTACAGTCCCAGAGCTTTTTTTACACATACATTCTCTGTTCCAGATTTTGCTGAACTACAGCTCCCATCATTCCATTGGCCATGTTGGCTGAGGCTGATGGGAGTGTTCCATGGCCGGTCTAGAAAGAATTACGTATGTTCTCTGCTGTTTTCCCTCCCCCTGTTACTTCCTTTCTCCAAAACATTGCAAATCTATTACAAATATTTCAGCAGTGACTCTGTTTGCGGTTAAGTTGATACAGTTTTCCAATTCTCTGCCTACCTCCTTTGCATTCTGACTGAGAAGTGCCCCCACTCACTGGACCCCAAACCCAGTATTGTAAAGATGTTTAGGGATGGTTGTTGTCTGTTTCCCTGTTTCCCATGTCCCAGATAATCCATCACAGCATGTCTGAGGAGGGAATTTTACAATCTGTGTTTTGATAGCTGCCATGGGCTGCTCAAGCCTCTTCTCCTGTCTCTTTGAAATGCAGTTTTTGCATTCCCCCTCCTCTGCCAAAGCACTATCCTAACTGCTTTCCCCAGCACTGCTTTAGTGCTATGATTCTTGGGAAGCAAGAATTAAAACAGTACAAGCAAAAATCGCATGTGAGTACTGTGTATCATACAGAGTCTTATGTCACTCACAGAGCTCAGGCATAGTGGGTAATATCCAAATAATGTTTCTCACAGATTAGTTATGGCGCTGTGCCAAAAATAAGCCAAAGTATCTCTGTAAATTTCCAAAATAGTATTTATACTACATTCTGTTCTTCTGGACACTTGAGAACAACCACTAAGATCTCTCTGTTATGTTTTAAATAAACCATTCAGTGTTGTTAGAAGAATGTTTAAGACAAACACACTTTCCTCTTTGCAACAACAGGTTGTATAATGTTGGCAGGGAGGATAATATGGGGAAATGCACGGACCGTGTTTGGTTTATTTATTTATCAACTGCATCAAA